ACCTTGCCGTAAGTTTGGTAGCAAGATACCAAAGTAATCCCGGCAAGGAACACTGGACAGCGGTCAAGAATATCCTGAAGTACCTGAAAAGGACGAAGGACATGTTTCTCGTTTATGGAGGAGACGAAGAGCTCGTCGTAAAGGGTTACGTCGACGCTAGCTTCGACTCAGATCTGGATGACTCTAAGTCACAAACCGGATACGTGTATATGTTGAATGGTGGAGCAGTAAGCTGGTGCAGCTGCAAGCAGAGCGTCATGGCGGGATCTACGTGTGAAGCGGAGTACATGGCAGCCTCGGAGGCAGCACATGAAGCGATTTGGGTGAAGGAGTTCATCACCGACCTAGGAGTCATACCCAATGCGTCGGGGCCGATCAAACTCTTCTGTGACAACACTGGAGCTATTGCCCTCGCCAAGGAGCCCAGGTTTCACAAGAAGACCAGGCACATCAAGCGTCGTTTCAACTCCATCCGTGAAAATGTTCAAGATGGAGACATAGAGATTTGCAAAGTACATACGGATCTGAATGTCGCAGATCCGCTGACTAAACCTCTCTCGCGTGCAAAACATGATCAACACCAGAACTCTATGGGTGTTCGATTCATCACAATGTAACTAGATTGGTGACTCTAGTGCAAGTGGGAGACTGTTGGAAATATGCCCTAGAGGCAATAATAAAAGTATTATTATATTTCATTGTTCATGATAATTGTCTTTTATTCATGCTATAACTGTATTATCCGGAAATCGTAATACACGTGTGAATACTTAGACCACAATATGTCCCTGGTAAGCCTCTAGTTGACCAGCTTGTTGTGATCAACAGATAGTCATGGTTTCCTGACTATGGACATTGGATGTCATTGATAACGGGATCACATCATTAGGAGAATGATGTGATGGACAAGACCCAATCCTAAGCATAGCATAAAAGATCGTGTAGTTCGTATTGCTAGAGCTTTGTCAATGTCAAGTATCTCTTCCTTAGACCATGAGATCGTGTAACTCCCGGATACCGTAGAAGTGCCTTGGGTGTATCAAACGTCACAACGTAACTGGGTGACTATAAAGGTGCATTACAGGTATCTCCGAAAGTAGCTGTTGGGTTGACATGGATCGAGACTGGGATTTGTCACTCCGTATGACGGAGAGGTATCTCTGGGCCCACTCGGTAATGCATCATCATAATGAGCTCAATGTGACCAAGGTGTTGGACACGGGATCATGCATTACGGTACGAGTAAAGTGACTTGCTGGTAACGAGACTGAACAAGGTATTGGGATACCGACGATCGAGTCTCGGGCAAGTAACGTACCGATTGACAAAGGGAATTGCATACAGGGTTTGATCGAATCCTCGACATAGTGGTTCATCCGATGACAACATCGAGGAGCATGTGGGAGCCATCATGGGTATCCAGATCCCGCTGTTGGTTATTGACTGAGAGCGTCTCGGTCATGTCTGCATGTCTCCCGAACCCGTAGGGTCTACATACTTAAGGTTCGGTGACGCTAGGGTTATGAAGATATGTATATGCAGAAACCCGAATGTTGTTCGGAGTCCCGGATGAGATCCCGGACGTCACAAGGAGTTCCGGAATGGTCCGGAGGTAAAGAATTATATATAGGAAGTGCTATTTCGGGCATCGGGACAAGTTTCGGGGTTATCGGTATTGTACCGGGACCACCGGAAGGGTCCCGGGGGTCCACCGGGTGGGGCCACCTGTCCCGGGGGGCCACATGGGCTGTAGGGGGTGCGCCTTGGCCTTCATGGGCCAAGGGCACCAGCCCCTATAGGCCCATGCGCCTAGGGTTTCCCCCTAGGAGGAGTCCTAGTGGTGGAAGGCACCCCTAGGTGCCTTGGGGGGGAGGGAAACCTCCCCTAGGCCGCCGCCCCCCCTAGTAGATCTCATCTACTAGGGCCGGCGCCCCCCCCCTTGGCACCCCTATATATAGTGGGGGAGAGGAGGGACTTCATACACCAGCCCCTGGCGCCTCCATCTCCCCCCGTTACGTCTCTCCCTCGTAGTCTCGGCGAAGCCCTGCTGCTGTGACGCCCTGCATCCACCACCACGCCGTCGTGCTGCTGGATCTTCATCAACCTCTCCTTCCCCCTTGCTGGATCAAGAAGGAGGAGACGTCTCCCGTCCCGTACGTGTGTTGAACGCGGAGGTGCCGTCCGTTCAGCGCTGGTCATCGGTGATTTGGATCACGTCGAGTACGACTACATCATCACCTTGCAAGCTTCCACACGCGATCTACAAGTGGTATGTAGATGCAAACTCTCTCCCTTGACTCGTTGCTTAGATGAACTCATAGATGGATCTTGGTGAAACCGTAGGAAAAATTTTAATTTTCTGCAACGTTCCCCAACACTATGGACTAAAGCCATCCGGTTTATATAGACACCGGAGAGGGCTAGGGTTACATAGAGTCGGTTACAAAGGTAGGAGATCTACACATCCGTATCGCCAAGCTTGCCTTCCACGCCAAGGAAAGTCCCATCCGGACACGGGACGAAGTCTTCAATCTTGTATCTTCATAGTCTTGGAGTCCGGCCGATGATGATAGTTCGGCTATCCGGACACCCCCTAGTCCGGGACTCCCTCACTCAGCAAGGACATTATTATCACGAGTAGGTTGAGGAATAGACAACAAACTACGTGTAGCAGAGGGAACTCGAAGGACACTAGAAAGATGCAGTTTGCGAAAATTGTGTGCAAGAAGTGATGCCTGACCAACATGGGAGATGCGCATACCTGCTTCGTTGGTGGTGTGCACCTGATCATGTCCACGATATGGTTCCTGAGTGGATAGCTTGCCCATCTCGCTGGTGAGATGATTCGTCGCTCCTGTATCCATATACCACGCCGGATCAAGAGAGTAGGACTGGGTGCGCCCGTGCTCGTGCCCCGTCACAGCAGCTGCAGCCTGCTTATCATTCCCTTTTCCATTGTTACCAAGGCCAAGCAAGTCTTGCTTGTAGCGTCTGTGGCAGCGAGAGGCGAGGTGACGATCTATGCCACAAAGCTGACAAGCCTAAGGAGCACCACAACTAGAACGGCAAGCAACTGGGCGACTCCCGCCAGTGATGGTCGGCGCGTTGCCCTGCGAGGCCTGCGACGAGGAAGCCGGTGGTTTGCCACCTGATGGGGTCGGCTTCTGAGGTTTGCAGCGTGTGGCGGCGTTGGCGAAGACGAAGCTGGGGGAAACACGGCGCGCCTTGATGCGATGCTCACGCCCAAGGAGGCGCGCATAGAGCTCACGACGCGGGAGCGTACCCTCTCGACCATGGACGTTCTCAATGAGATTATCATAATCATCATCAAGCCTGTTAAGCACAAAGGTGGTGAAGTCCTCGTCCTGAAGCGGCTGACCAATAGAGGCCAAGGTGTCGGCGAGGCTCGTCATCTTGTTGAAGTACTCCGTGATGCTGAGATCGCCAAGCTTGGTCTCACCCAGCTCGGTGTGTATAGAGTGTGCACGCGCCTGAGACTGAGAGGTGAAACTAGTGTGGAGGGCCGCCCATGCCTCCCTGGACGTAGCGGTGAAGATGACCATCGACGAAACACTCGGCGTGAGCGAAGACTGGATGGCGGAGAGAATGGCCTGATCCTGCGCCACCCACGTGTCATATGCCGGATGGTGAGGGGGTGGGCACGGGATGGACCCGTCGACATAACCCTCCAAGTAGCGGCTGCAGAGTAGAGGTAAGACCTGAGCACGCCATGACAGGTAGTTGTCCGGCGCGAGCTTCACCGACAGCAGGTGCGAGAAATAAAACGGCGGAGGCGCCGCGGTTTGAGTAGTGTACGCCTGTGCCAGTGGTGCATAGGGATCCATGGAGAGGGCCATCTCTGGACGAGGGACCATCGCGTAGGCACCAGGCGAGGAGTAGGATCCGGCAGAGGCGACAGCCAAAGCGCCGGCAGCGCCGCGGGCTCGGGCGGGGCGATCAGATCGTCCGGAGCCCCCGGGGAAGCGGGCGGCGGCGGCAAGGCACCGTACGTTGCCGCAAGGGGCCGGGAGGCCGGGAAGGGCGACATCGGGGCGAGGGCCGGCACGGCGGTGGCGGTCGAGATCGGCGCGGCGGCGGCGGGAGGTGGTGCAGCGGAAGACATCGTAACCTAAACTGATACCATGTAAAACATAGGGTGGTTTGGGAAACTGGCTCGACACCCTAAAACAGGGTGTGGCTATCTCATTATATAGACGTACCAAGAGGTATAATACAAGGCCTATACAAGACTACGTATATACAGTCTAACATACACAACACAAATGCGATGGTTCGCTGTGTTCTTTCTCGTTACATAACTTAAATGACAAATGCACGAGTCACCTTCTGGCGCAGAATATATTTTTTTAGTAAAGGCTCATACGCAATGCATAACAGAAACACGAATCCATGCCGAAAACAAGCCGCGTTTATGATAACCCCAACTGAATTGCTTATGATAACCTCAACTGAAAGCAATTCTCAACAGACAACACATGGAGTATTATGCTTATGTCATAGTCACACGGGAGAGTATCTTGCCAGACACAAACGAAAATGACATCACCGACTGAACTCAATGGAGGGAAAAGGGAGTAACCAACATTACTCAAAATTTCCTTTCCATTTACTATCACTAAGAACAGCACTTTCAAGCTTTGACGGAAGCAACATCTGTGCCAAGGTACCGGGGGAGGAAAGATACACGCTTCGAGGCAAAAATATATACACATCAGGCTATAGACAGATCTCACCTTATGGAAGCCTACTGTACATGGTTGCCCCCTTACACATTCTACGGTTCGAAGCTAGCTAGAAATACAATGGTGCAAGCGCCTTCATGGGTGCTCCAGGAAAAAAACCCTATTCAGAGATCGAGATGGAACTATAGGCGGCACCATCTGCCTTTAATCCTGAAATAGTTACATAATTCCCGGTGAATCGTGCAAACTACAAAGGATAGATAAAAATGAAACAAGATGGAAGACTTACATGAACTATCAAAAAAGGCTCAATGCACTATCCGTAAGAAGTGAGCTTCTGGAGCTCCCTAGCTCTAGCTCATCAGAGGTGGAATTGTACGAAGACAGCAACTTCCTCTGTATGATGTTGCATAGGATACATGTTAGTTCCCTTTTCAGATTATAAAATTTTAATTTCTGAATAGGTAATGGAACTAATACGAATGCTGGAGTTGAGTATCAGTTCAAATCAGTTCAAATCATTTCTTACTTCCCAGGCCCAACATGCTAAAGAAACACATTTTCCCTTGAAAGGTTGACTATTTACAAAGGACAGACCCAGTGCATAGAAGCTCCCACACAAGGTGGGGTCTGGGGAGGGATTATAGGAACCTAGTCTTACCCCTGCAAAGTGCAATGCAGAGAGGCTGGTTCGAACCCAGGACCTCTTGGCACAAGTGGGGAGGACTATTTACAATACAAATTAATTTGGTCTTCGATTTTGGAGAAGAATTGGGTATCAGCACATACCAAATTTCTGATAATTTTGAAAGTTTGCAAAACATGATGACTTTACACACATGATAGCTGCCCAAATATTCCAGTCATTCTGCACAGTGGCAACAATTTGTATTGACAGTACCAAGGCAGAAACCATGGCAATTGGGCAAACCCTGATAGAAGCACAGTGTGTGAAGAGACACCCAAGTTCAAGAAGACACGAGCATGCTGTTGAAATCCTGCGCAGTTTCTTTATATGAAAGAAATAACTTCTGCTACTGACCAAATAAGGAGTTAAACATCTGAAACTGACCGCCTGCTCATCAAATATGCATTTACGGGATGTATTAAACTGGTTACCTTGACACCACCATAAAACATAATAACTGTTAACATACAGCAATACATGCATAATGCGTGAGATAGCTCTGCTACTTGCATTACCTTTCAGATGTACTCCCTCCGTCCCAAAATTCTTGTCTTAGATTTGTCTATATACGGATGTATCTATTCATGTTTTAGTGTTAGATACATCCGTATCTAGATAAATTTAAGACAAGAATTTTGGGATGGAGGTAATAGTAAAGAAAGGTCTATCAATAAGAGAAACAAGCATGGCAATATGCACAGAAGTTCTGAACAAAAACTACAACAGCTTGACTTATAAGTTATAACAACTGCTGGTAACATGAAAAGGCAGTGAACAATTTAGTGCAAATATGATCTATAGCCTAACGAAATGTTGGATAGCTACTTACTTGATCTTCAAAATCAGGACTGGTCAAGTTGATGGAGAGATTTCTCATCAACAACAGTGCCTAGAGATCAAAAGACACAAATGTCAGTTGATGAGAAGTAAGACATTTCAAACCATTATTATTCGAAAAAATATGAATTCAACATGCCATCGATTAGTTTCGACATAACACAAAGGGTTAAAATGGTGACAAAACAAGCATATACAGTTTGTTGCAATGCTTAAAAACTAAACATGCATATAGAGTTTTTTGCTATGCTTAAATCAGGAGCATTCTGCATAAGCCTATAGGTACATAAGAAATTTTAGAGCCGAAGAGTATTTATTCTTGTGATTTATAAATTCTTGATTTGACAAAGCAATTATTTTGGAGGAGAAATTGGGCAATGCAACATTACAACCATAGCCTTAGTTAAGCTATGCCTATGGTCAATTTCTTTATGAATAGAAGAAAACCTAGTATATCAACGACTCACATACCGTTTCAACATCAATTGGATTCATCTCCTTCAGTTTCTGCAAATGGCCCTTTGTGCTTGGATCGAAAACACTGCCTAAGAAGCTGTATACTTGTGCAAAATCTGGCATAACTGTATCAAAATTTGAAAGAGGGGGTTAAAGGAGTTTAAAATGGTAGGTCGGATAAAAAAACAAAGCAGTCCTGTGACAAAAGCCACGATAACAATACAGTAAAATCAATGGATGAATGAGCTGTAAGAATTACTTTATCCTATTTATTCATTCTAAAGAACGAACCGCATGTTATAAATACTAGAACAGAACTGCAAAAGTCTTGGAAATAAATAGACTATCAAAAGTATCTAAAGACTAGAGGTACTGACTGCGGAGTGATGGAACTTGATTTATCTGGTCATTGGTTTCACCAGATTGCCATGCCCTTGGAGGGCCTTCACTACTGCTTGAGCAAAAAATGTTTGGACCCATAGACCCAGCACCTAAATCTTCTGAGCAAAAGGAGGTAAGGATTAACTGACGAAGAGTACACTTGGACTATTTAGAGGAAGGGCACCTTGAAGTACAAACCTTTCATGAAAGATGAGGCGACAACTGGTGGGATAGAATTGTGGGTCCATGGAGAAACAGCCACGTTCATTCCTGAGTTTCTAAGCATGGCAGATGGATCTGTCTTCAGGGCATATCCTGGCTCTGCAAGACAAGAGAAGATAGTGAAGCAACTGTCGGTATAAAGAGGCACCGATAAAATGATAATGTAAAATTGTTACTTGTAAAACTAAGTTCGATGACTCACCATTTTTGGAGGCCTTCTGAGGGTATGGGTGGGCAGCTTTACGCTTTGGTCGTGGAGGTGGGACATGTTCGCTGGTTCCATTTTTCTGAACCTTCAAAAAATACTTCTGTGCATGGCTCCTTATCTGCAAAACCAAATTAATATGTAACATGAAAATGGTTTTACCGGAGAAGCCATTGCCAGGAAAATCGATCCAAGCGCTGTGCAATGTTTGCACAGAAAAATGAGGAGACATCGGTTGTTTACAAAGCAGCAGACATCTCCATTTGTAAGGTTTAGTAAGGCGCTCCATTATGTTGGGATTGTGGTGCAAATTGATCATAATTTCACTTGATTTTTCAGTTTATAATCCAAATACCTGGATGACAGTCTTCGAACCAACAAAAGCTTCTATCTTTTTCCAGTCACGATCAAAGCTGAAAAGAACTCAGGTTTTCCACATTAATGTCACATTAAGATGAAATCTTATAATTGACTATCAAATCTTCAACACATATAGGTGAATTCAACTATAGTAACTGTCAAATTATCCCCACAAAAAACATATTTGTCGGTACACCTGAACGAAAACTATTTTACCTACTCCTTCCGTTCACAAATATAGGATTTTCCAACTTTTTTGTGAATGGATGTATATAGACACGTTTTAGTCCATATTGAAGTATCCGAACCGTCTTATATTTGTGAACGGAGGGAGTAGTACATAAATGATGGTGGTCTGAACAGTGAACGTATGAGGCTCTGGGTAATCGAGTTGTAGGAATGTTTACTAAATTCTACTAGTAAATATTATGGCTTGAAAAATTATGCTCTTCACTGAAAACATGTCTACAAAAACGCAGTACAATTGCAGAAGGAACGTCCTAGTGATCTATCATCATCATCATCATCAAACTTTAAACAAGCGAAAAAACAAGCTAAGTTCAGCAAACACTATAGGCACAAAAATAATTATTAGCGCCAGCTAACTAACGCATCAAAAAGGCTAGAAAAAATATATACAGTCGTTGGCCCAAAGATCACAGAAAAATGGAAGCTATGCGAAGTTTTGAGCCAAGCGCGAATGGACTAAATTTTTTTCGAATTGAGGGGTTCCCCCCAAATACAAGCAGTTTTTCCAGCCCATTTGCAAGTTCAAACAGAGCGAATGGAATTGCGTGGAGAAACACAAAAGGGGGAGGGAAGAAAACCGTGGAGAAACACAAAAGGGGAAGGGAAGAAAATCGTGGAGCACCACAGTTCAGCGTCTGCTTACAGCTGCAGGGCCTCGAGGAACTTGTCGTGCTCCTGCTCCGTCCAGCTCTCGCGCGACTTGGTGATGGTGTAGGGCTTCCGCACCTTCTTGCTGGCGTCGTCGCCCGACACGGCGGCGGCCGCCTCGGACAGCGCCGGCGGCGGCGGCGGGTTCGTGGAGACCATATGGAACGCACGGAGGCCTGGTTCCGTTGGGTGCCGGTGGCGGTCTCTCGCTCGCTGGACCGGAGGAGGGGAGAGGTTGGCTTTTGTCCGTAGCGCGGCCGCGTCCGCCTGCGTGGTGGCTGCGTCGCGTCGCGTCGCGGTGTGGCGCCGGGCCGGGTTGGGTGGGAGTGTGTGGGTGGTGGCGCCGCTGGGGGGGCGTGCGGGGTTTTGGCCGCGCGTTTTGGTTGCGGGGCAGACAGACTGTGCGCGGGCCCCGCCGCGTGGGCCACAGGGCGCGCGCGCTTGTGGCTGCGCTGCGCGGGGGGAAGGCCCACTTGCGCCCCGCACGTCCCCCTCACCCCACCCCCACCCCACCACACACACGCGGGGGCGCTCTCGGCTCTACTAGCTGCTGCTCCTACTGGTCGCCGGCGTCACGCCGAGCTCGTTCGTGTGGCTGGCTGCTCGCGTCCGCTCGCCGCGTGCTGTTTTTTTTAGCGGAGATAAATACACTCACGGTCACTCTAGTTGCGACTGAAGCACGATACGGTCACTAAATTCAGGAATACGCTCGATACAGTCACTGAATACGATGTGACGTGAAAATACGGTCACTGTAGCACGTACACGGTGGGTAGGCGGTGGGTTTGACCAACTGTTGACTGCCACATTGTTCGTTTCGATTCGGCCAATCTTGCATGGAGGGTCTTTTTGTAAAAGTGCAAAATTCCCCATCCTCAAATCCCTAACACGTCGCTCTCATTGCGCCGCCCGGTCAAATCCCTTGCGTCGCCCCCCTCCCGTCGCTCTGCTCCGCCTCCCTCCCTCCCTCCCGTCGCTCTCCTCCGCCTCACCTCACCGCCGCCGCCGAGGAGGGTAGTTCCTTGCCCTCTGGTGCTCATGTCTGCCGCCAGCTCCTCCTCCGCTGCTGTTCGCCGTCGTGCACTGGCGCTGCCGCTTGTCCGCTACCCGACCTGCAAGGATAAGGTGTGCATGTACATCTCTACCACAGAGAAGCACGACGGATGGGTCTTCTACAAGTGCCAGAAGCATGGGGTCAGTTTTGTTGTTCGATTTACATTCTTGATGTGATTTGGGTTATGTTCTGCATCCAAAGATTGAATATTTTTTCACCACATTCGTCTGTGGTTTGGATAGGTCACTTGTGATTTCTGGAGGTGGGAGTTGGAGTATGTTGAGCACCTAGTTGACAAGCAGTATCTCACTGGCGATGCGGCTGTGGATGCTATTGGTGCGGCTGAGGAATGCAGGGAGGAGCTACTGAAAGCACAAGAACTGTTCTACATGAATGGAGCTGTCAGCAATGTGAAGAAGGTTTTGAAGAAGAATGACCAGGCAGTAGATGGAACTGCCAACCTGATGACCAGGAAGCAAGCTGCTGCACTGATGATGCTTGGGAGGGAGCTGCTGATGGTCATGAAGATGTTGGTTGGTGTTCTGGTGGTGCTAGGTGTTGCAGCATTGGTGGTGGTCATGCTGAAGAAGTGAAGAAGATGATGTTCTGGTGTTGCTAGGTTCTGATGTTGCTAGGTTATTTTGTGTCCTGTCTTTGTAATGGTTGTGCTGAATCCTGGTGAACCCTAATGTTAGTGTCTGTCCTATCTTGTATGGTTTAAGCATGTTGCAATGGAAAGTCAAGTGGAATTGTCAAATCCCTTTGTTGTTCAATGTGCCAATGGATAGCCTGTCCTATCTCAGTTCAGGCAGAGGATGGCAATCAAAGAGATGAAGAACAGCCAGAGGTAGAAGTTGATGCAGGTGGAAACATGAGAGTGAGGAGGAGTGCTAGGCAAAACCATGTGAACTATGCAATGGAAGAAGAGGAAGGAGCAACCGATAGTGATGATGAAGATTATGAACCTGATATGCTTGTGGACAGTGACAATGAGATAGGACAGAGGGACAGATTACATAGTTGACTTACATAAAAGAACCTGCACTTGTAGAAGAATTCAGAAATCTGGAGTTCCATGTTCTCATGTGGTAGCCTGTTGTAGGCATGAAAGAATTGATCCACTTGAACTGGTTGACCCTTGCTACTCCAAGCAAATGTTCAAGAAGGCATATGAAAGCATTATCTACCCTTGCAAAGATAGGAGAGAGTGGGAGGACATGTGTGGGCCCCCAATCTTGCCACCATTGTACCAGAAGCATGTAGGAAGGCCATCAACTACAAGAAGACAAGCACCTGGAGAGGTTGATCATAGAAAGGGAGGGGGGAAATCACAAGGCATGGTGTAATCATGCATTGTTCATATTGTGGTGAGCCAGATCATAACAAGTCTGGATGCAAGTACTTGAAGGCTGGAATTCCACCACCAAATAGAAGAGGCAGTGATGCACCCACAGCTCCAGATGTAGACAATGGTGCAGCTAGTGTGCCACCAACAGCTCCAGATGCATCACATCAAGATGATCCAGTCTTAAATCAAGTACTAAAGACTTGCAGCTCCTCAAAATGATCCAAATGCATTACCTTGATGATTGCAAGAGAACTAACACAATGTTTTCTGTCTAATTGCAGGGACAAGAAGAGCCAAGTGTTGTATTAGAAGATCTTATGGTGGACAACATGATTGCCCAGGTATAATTTACTGCATAATCAATTGCTTTTATTTCCTGTTTGTCTAGTATCATATAGTTGAGATAGAACATTAACTTGTCATACATTCTGCAGATGCCAACACCAAGGGTTGTTCAACAGAGGCCACTACCTTATTCTGGGTTTCTCACTGCTGCCCAAGTGATGCTCAACCAGAGTAATGCAAGTCAAGGTAGTCAAGCTAGCTCAAGCACCATTAGGCCAGGTGAGTTGGCACAGAGGCTGGAGGCAATGAAAAATCAGAAAGACAGGGAGCTGGAGGAGAGGAAGCAAGCCATCCTTGCTTCTAGGAGGGAAGAAGAATTGAAAAAAGCTCAAGAAATAGCAAGAAAGAAACAAGAGCTAGCACAGAAGAAAGCAGAACTGTCTGAGAGAAGAAGATTGGCTACACTGGAGAGGAGTGCCAAAAGAAGAGAAGAAGCAGAGATAAACAAGAAAGCTCAAGCTGAGACCAGACAAATTATTGCAGAAACAATGAAGACTATAGCTGCAGAGAATAAGGCAAAGGAAGAAGCTGAGAGAAGAGCTGCTGCTGAGAAGAAGGAAGCACAAAAGAAAGCAGATAGGGAAGCAGTTGCTGCTAGAAAAGAAGAAGAGAAGAAACAAGCTGCTGCTAGAAAAGAAGAAGAGAAGAAACAAGCTGCTGCTAGGAAAGAAGAAGAGAAGAAGTGGGCTGCTGCTAAGAAAGAAGAGGAGAAGAAGCTTGCTGCTGCTAAGAAACAGCTGGAGAAGAGGCCTGCTACAAAAAGGAAGCCAAGCTGGCTTGCCAATGAAGCTGATTATCCCAACAAATCAGCAAGATCATCCATGTTTGATGTCTTTAGGTAGTTTGCAAGATATGCCTGTTTATGATCATGCATTGTTCAAGATATCTTCCGATATTCCGATAAATCGGCTAATTTATCACTTACCGTTGTCTGACCGATAAGAGAAATCGGCTGATAAATCAGCCGATATGGCGATAAGTCAGCCGATATGCTGATAAACTGGCCGATTTACCCCTTATCATGGGTTGACCGATAAGTTCCCGATAAGCGATATCCCCAACATTGTGATCATGTAGAGCTGTTGAAATGAACATGTATGGTACTTGTGTACTCATTTTGGTGGATGATGATGTTTACTACTCTGCATGAATGATCATGTTTAGTTCTTTTGGTGGATGATCATGTTTGGTCTTCTGAAATTAGTCCAATTGAGCATTTTTATGCCATTTTCTCTTCTATTGTGCTGATCACATATTGGGACTTAACTTTGGCAGTTAGAACATCACATCTTGATAAATGTTAGAACAGCACATGTTGATAAATGTTGCCAGTTAGAACAGCACATATTGATGATCATGCACACAATTTCTTTGCCACTTAACTTTCTCTTCACCAAAAGTGTCTAATGAAGAGAAACTGTTGATGATCATCAATGTAGAACAGCACTTGCACAATCATCTACATTGCCACTTAACAATCATCTACTTCAGCATTGCCAGTTGATAAAGGATCACCATCACACAGAACAATTGAAAAATATCATGATTCATAATGCAAAGAAAATGGACTGGTTAATGCACATTGAATAAAAAAGGGATTTGACAATTCCACTTAACTTTCCATTGAAACATGCTTAAACCATTACAAGATAGGACAGGCACTAACATTAGGGTTCACCAGGATTCAGCACAACCATTACAAAGACAGGACACAAAATAACCTAGCAACATCAGAACCTAGCAACACCAGAACATCATCTTCTTCACTTCTTCAGCATGACCACCACCAATGCTGCAACACCTAGCACCACCAGAACACCAACCAGCATCTTCATGACCATCAGCAGCTCCCTCCCAAGCATCATCAGTGCAGCAGCTTGCTGCCTGGTCATCAGGTTGGCAGTTCCATCTACTGCCTGGTCATTCTTCTTCAAAACCTTCTTCACATTGCTGACAGCTCCATTCATGTAGAACAGTTCTTGTGCTTTCAGAAGCTCCTCCCTGCGTTCCTCAGCCGCACCAATAGCATCCACAGCCGCATCGCCAGTGAGATACTGCTTGTCAACTAGGTGCTCAACATACTCCAACTCCCACCTCCAGAAATCACAAGTGACCTATCCAAACCACAGACGAATGTGGTGAAAAAATATTCAATCTTTGGATCCAGAACATAACCCAAATCACATCAAGAATGTAAATCGAACAGCAAAACTTACCCCATGCTTCTAGCACTTGTAGAAGACCCATCCGTCGTGCTTCTCCGTGGTAGAGATGTACATGCGCACCTTATCCTTGCAGGTCGGGCAGCGAACAAGCGGCAGCGCCAGTGCATGGCGGCGAACAGCAGCGGAGGAGGAGCTGGCGGCAGACATGAGCACCAGAGGGCAAGGAACTACCCTCCTTGGCGGCGGC